GAGACAGAGACGGACACAGTCCATTTGCTCCTTCAGGCTATGTCTCCTTCATTCACTGAGACAGGGGTAATCACAGGAAGCATGAGATAAAGAGGAGTTATTATTGCCAAGAATTCTTAAAATATGAGTAAGATATCACTGTCATATATATAGTTTGGTTATGCTTATAATAATAATAATACATTTAATTTATAACACACTACATTTTTGCAAAAAAAAAATCTCAAAGTGCTACAGAAAAAAAATAAAATAGAAATAAAAACAAATTTCATCAACTAAGCAACTAAGGAAACTAAAAGCACAAGCAGAAGGCTTTGTTAAAAAGGTGGGTTTTTAGGGCCCTTTTAAAAGCGTCCGCAGATTGTGGTGCCCTCAGATGCTTGGGGAGAGCGTTCCACAGACTGGGAGCAGTGGAGCAGAAGGCCTGGTCTCCCATGGTGTGGAGTTTAGTCCTGGGGGGATGGAGGAGGTTGGTATTTCCAGAGCGGAGACTTCGTGTGGAGGATTGTGATGTGAGGGGGGGCATTTCCCATGGGTGCACTGGTAGGTGAGAAGGGTGACTTTGTATTGAATCCTGGAAAAGATGGGGAGCCAGTGTAGTGCCTGAATGATGGGTGTGAAGAAAAGGTGATGGTGGTTATAGGGGATGACCTGATCTGGTGTGGGGCGCCAAGTAGAATTGCTTCTGTTTTGGAGCTGTTCAATTTGAGAAAGTTGTGCTTCATCCACGCCTCTATCTCCTCCAGGCAGGTGGTCAGTGTCGATGATGGCAGGGGTGCAGAGGGGTTGATTTGATTTTTGTTTGGTAGATTTGAGTGTCATCAGCATAACAATTGACTGAAAGTCTGATGACGTGGCCAAGGGTAGCATGTAGATAGTGAACAGGGTGGAGCCGAAGACTGATCCTTGGGGGACACCGCAGGTGACAAGTTGAAAAATTTAAATCTTCTATAGGCTTATATAAAAAGAGGAGGCTGTTTCTTATTTCATTTAGATAATAATTTTAGCTACTAGTGTAGGCTATACTATAACATGAAATGATTGATAGGTTTTCCTCTTGCACTTCCCACAACTTTTAAGTCACCAGCTACCATATTTATGTAGCTTAACTCATATCTGTCAACCAGATCACTCAAGGATGGGGCGGAAATGAGGAAGAGCACACAAAGGAAAGTCCAGCAGACACATGCTGTGCCCAAGGTCCTGCCACAACCCCATGCTCAATAACACCACCGCCAGCTGAGATAGCCCTACCTGCTACACCTGGCCCTTCCAGGGAGAGGCTGGCCCCTGTGCGTGAAGTGAAGCGAGGAAGGGTCATACCACCAACACCTCCCCCACATGTCCTCGCTGCCTTTCAGCATGGAATGCTTAACACTAGAAGCGCCCATACGGTCAAATTTACTGTTGCCGTTTTTGAAATGTCTGTAACTTTCTTCATATAAAATATATGTATCCCCTGGCCTATGACTTTCCCTAACTATGTGTTGATTTGTGTTTTGAGTTGTTACAAGTTTGTAGACTAAATGCAAAAAAAGTTAGAAGCATTTATACCTATAAACGCGGAAGGGGTCAAATTTACCGCAACAAAAATAGAGACTATATATTGAATTTTCACGCCCTTTATTTGCATCTACCGTTGCCTAGCAACGCGCCTATGTGTACATTATTTTCATGCGCAAGCGTACATTTTGCAAGGGAAAGGAACAGAAAAGAAGAGAACTGAATAGCAATAAGTGATAAGAATAGCTGATACAAGAGACAATACAGAATAGCGGAGGGGAAAGAATAAGTTTGATAGAAGTTGAGAAGAGATTGCACAGTGGCAGTGGCAGAGGCGCAAAGGGTGCAAGGTCAAGCCTCAACGCTCGTATAAGAGAGGAGCAGACCGAGCCAAAAAGGCGGCAGTGTCAAATAAACAGCAGTTGCCTGCAGAATAAAACATGGATCACTTTTTAGGACATCTCAACATGTTCAGATATCTGAATATTTTCTGTATTCAGCTGCTTACCAACTACAGGAGACATACCATGGTAAATTATTTTATTGTTGTCATAAAGCCTGCCGTCAAATATGGTCATGTAGGATGGCTGGGTAGCTTAGTGGCCAACAGCTTGTTTGGTTGCACACTGGTAAATTGGATTGGGTTGCACTGTCTCCTAGCGGGGTGTCTTAAAGAGTTACCCTGTACATGTAATTTAACGGGGTGGAGAGATATTCTCGAGACAAAAGAGAAGTCTTACATTGTAACCTTGGTTCTCTGAGTAGAGAGACTATCTCTCTAGGCTCTAGAGCGCTCGGAGACAAATTCTGATCAAACTATCACTGATTTTACGCCAGCACAGGTGCTTTATAGATGAGCTGTGGGGCGTGACCGGGTAAGCTGGTGTGTCTTAAAGAAATGTCCTTGGACTCTGACGAGCAAGAGATCATATCCCGTACGTGTAACGTAACAGGGTGGAGCGATGGTCTCTCTACTCAGAGAGCCTAGGTTTCAATGTAACCCTATGTTGTTGTTCTGTAGTGTTTCAGATCAATTCTAAAATAGATTAATTTGTTATCAAAGGGCACGACTGACAGTTTGATTAGTGTATGTTAATATGTCGATGTGTATGGTAAGGGGTGGGGGCTTGAAAATATTTTTGTTTTCCATGGGGTGGCCCAGCAGAAAAAGCTTGGAAATCACTGCTTTAGTGTATACCTCCTGTATCTGTATGTATACGTGTAAAGGTAGGCTACATTGTAATACAATAATGTTTTTTTTCAAAGGTTGTTTTCTGCTAAATCAAAAATGCCAGTAGCCTAGTAAGTAGACTAATACATTGGGATGAATCAAATAACTATGCTAATGATTTAATAAGTGTTCGCCCAGACTGGTAATTAATTCACGACTAACAGATGGAAATTATCACTGCAGCCAACGGCGCTTCATATCGTGCAACTTTGAAGGCGAGCTGTATCTGTTTCCGTTTGCCAACTTGCTCAATTAAATTTTCTTTGGGTGCATCCGAATTGTCCCTCCTATCTCCTTTCACTATCCACTTTACTTTAACCCCGGGGAAAACGTCATGAGGTCAAGGAAAGAGGTTAGGAGAATTCATAAAGGATTTAGGGAAAGGCGATCGTGTTGCACTGACAACCCACCGCATTTTCCACTAGGTGATGTAATTAAATGCGACGGGCCGGCGGTTAATGAAGTGGGTCTGCCGTGGTGAAACTACAATGTTCCCAAAATGGACTACTAAAAGCACATCTAAAAAACTTTCTTCTGTGCCTTCTTACCGGTGAAATAATCCTAATTACCACAAGGTTGGGATTGAAATAAAATCAATTTAGGCTACCAGGCTACGAGTAAGTGAAACCATCACATTCCTGTCTACTCATAAATCTACATCAAAATAAGTATGATTGTATGAAATTAATTGTTAAATTTATGCAAGATATACATATGTTTTAAGCATACAAATGTACATCTGCACAAAGCATTCTTAAGTAAATGAAATATTTTGAATAAAACTTCATCTGGCTAAAACTGTCCCTTAGGCCTACATGATCTGTGCCACTTTATGATCATCGTTAATTTTCATTTCAAAATGACAATTCGGACGCATCCATTGTGCATCCAAGTTGGATAATTCAACAAGCCTGCACTGAATAGTTTTGCACGTTGCTCAATGCAACAATAATACAGTCAAAGCATTAACAACGTTAGGCTGAGTCAGCTGTGTGGGAATAAGTTAACGTGTGATAACATATATTTGCGTTCACCAAGTCGGACAATGAAATTAGGAAACACCCCTTAAACTGGCATGTTTCATTACACAACATGAACTACTGCAAATGAATTATACTTTGTACACAGACCCTTGTTGCATCGTTTCTGCAGCCTGCCTATTCAAACAGACGCACTGATATTTCATTCATCCCCAGCCAAAATGGCTAGTTAGCCGCCAACGTTAATTTTTACCCACAATTGGCGTTTTAACAGGTGTTAATTTAAAGCCCTGGAAGTAACCTACCTCTAACCGCAGGCCTACATAGTTAAATAGATAGATAGATAGATACTTTATTGAACCAGAGGGAAATTCAAACAAACAAATAGTAACCATTGTGAAGATTTATCCTGCTCAACATTATGTTGTTAGCCCTGTAAGCATGTTTAATTTTGACAAAATGTAAAGTTAGTTTGCCAGTCAGATGGCTGTAGTACCATTTTCATTGTAAATTAAGTGTCTCATCCCCACTTTTTAAAATCCTCAAGAAAGTTTGACAGTAAATTGACAAAGTGATATCACAAGCTGATGATGAGCTCACTCCTGTAAAATTAGGTAAGCCATTGAACCTAACGTGACTGCTCAGAAAGCCTGCAAACGAATTTGAAGTCTCAAAGGATAACCCAAGACGACCATGATGCTCTCTGTCATCATTTTAGTGTCCTGGTTTACTTCCCATGAATGTTAAAGGCAGAATATTCGATTTTTTGATCCAGCAGATGTCACCCTTGAGCACCAGCATGAAACCAAAACAACTTGCGCTGTATTGTTGTGTTACCATGCTAATGCTAGCGATCTTTATTATGCTCGTATCTTCACACTGCATGTAAATTTACACGAAATGACCATGATCTAAAAACGCTTACGTGACATTCAAATAAGCGGTGAGTACAGTATGTTATTCTTCTTTTCGCTAGTCCATCAATTAAACAACTTTTTACGCAAGGCGATGAGCAGGCCGGCCGTCCCGGTGATGTAAACAAAGTGTAGCTACGGCTCGGAATGCTTGGAAAGCATTACAGACAGCGGGGCTCGGGTGTCACACTCATTGCAGATAGTCATGACTCAGAGTTATTTTCAGAGGACATATTTGATCATTTCTGCTACATTTAAGTGTGAAAAATTGCATATTCTGCCTTTAATGTAATCTAAAATATTTGGACATAACCGTCAAGAAAGGCCTAAATTTAAAACAAACATGATCTAACATAAAGTATGAAACTGAGATCAGAAATATGTATACTTTTACTGTATTTACACATTTTTTCATTTGCATAGACATTGAAAATTCCAAAATACAAGTTTACAGATATTATAGTAAACACAATTAGGAAGTATTAGTTTATGCAACATTATTTATCACAAGGAAAAGTTTACCTGACAGATTCAAAGCCATAAAGCTGTCGTTTTACTTTTTTTTTTTTTCAAAATTCATAAATAAAAATGTACTTATTTCCAACAAGTGTTTTCTTTTCACCTTGCCAAGAATCCTCACAATCAGTATGCATTATCAAACTCTTAATTATATTCATAACTGGCACATTTCTTACATAAAATGTTTTTGGTTCTTTCAGAAGCACTTTCAATGCGGTGCAAAGTCAATATATCAAAGATAGGGAAGGGGTTTGTGTAAACTGATGTGCTTAAGAAAACAGGACACAGTTGGTCTTGTTTTGTTTAAACCAAACCAATTTTTTTAGTCAAAAAAAGTCCTCTACATGTGGTAATACATTAAATAAAATAAGCAATGCAAAATACATTTTCTTACTGTATTATTTTCTAACTCTTCTTTATAAACTGTAAGAATATTCTGAAAAAGATTTTACATGTTAATTTAATCAATGTACATACATATTGTATAAGTAGCCGCCTGCCCGAACACTAGAAAAGTTGATAAAACATTACTATCTTACTGTTCTCTTACTAGATTTTTAAATTGTTTTAATGAAGTTTCAGTGTTATCTGTAAGAAGAGACAGTTGGAGAATCTGCCAATCAATATCAAGACAACCTGCTGTCCAGTCAGATCATTTTCCATCGTCATCCTTAGGGAATCTTCAGGGCCACAGAAATGCTTTTGATACATCTATCAGAGGATTAGTCCACAAAATGTAGGAAGCACATACTTGGCCCTAGGATTCCAACAGCAAGTTGTCTGACAGGCTGGCCTCATGCCTTCATCTGTATCCCTCTAACATGATAACACTTTAACATCTACATACATTTTTACACTTAAATACATCCACATTGTTATTGTCTTGCTAACAAGAAACTATTCTTACCTAAAATGTTCATTAGATTAAATTAGAAATCCTTTGAATATCTTACAATAGTGTTTTCTTCATTTAGTGTGTATCATAAACATAAAAAAATATGAAAATTAAGGAAGTTTAACAACAGACTAGCAGAAATTACATTTTTTCACAATTGTTTCATAAAATTTACTTTAATTGTACACCAAATTACTGCAGAAATGTAATATTTCCCCTTTTCATATTTTTTGATGATTATAAAGTTAAAACATCACTTTTTTAGGACATCTCAACATGTTCAGATATGTGAATATTTTCTGTTCTCAGCTGCTTACCAACTACAGGAGACATACCATGGTAAATTATTTTTTTGTTGTCATAAAGCCTGCCGTCAAATATGGTCATGTAGGATGGCTGGGTAGCTTAGTGGCCGACAGAAAAATTACAATAATATTCAAGCAACAGACAGAGCTGACAAAATATGAAGACATTTTCCTGAGGTTGTTTTTTTTGCAGTGTGCTGGCTCTCATTCACTCAGTCTTTCGACACACTGTCACATACTGTTGGTCACCTAGTCAAATGATTTTCTTCTTCATGTTCTCTTTCCAGCTTCCATCCCTTCTTGCTTCCTTTCTCTCATTCTGAGGGTATTTAGGACAGTGTGTGTGTGTCTACTTGAGCTGTGGTTGAATGTTTGGACCAGTAAAAAAGAGTTTCAAAATATTGTTAAGGGCCTTGGTGACATTTTGTATATACGCATTTGACAATCACTGAGAAATTGGTTATAATTAAAGTGTACCATAACAATCCAAACACATAAATGTGACTTACCCTTATTTGTGCTTGTGACACTCTCTTCCTTTCTATTTACTATTAACGTTATCATGTTAGTGCCTATCAGGTGATGATTTGGCAAGTGCACTCACTAAAGAGAAGAGCACAGCAGTAGTAATGGATTAAGTTGTGAAAAATGGCACAGAAAGCCCTTGCAACTGTGCAGAAGTGGCTATAATTCCCATGAATGGCTATAATTACACCTAGCTAACTAAGTACATGCAAAAAATATGTTGTAGTTTTGTGATATATTAAGTTTGGATAGATCAGTGATTCAGCAGTCTAAATGTGAAGTTCCTACTTCGGTGTTAAAGATACCTCTGCAGAGAATAAAGTAAAGATTTTCAAGGTGGTTATAGGAGCAGGACTGGTTGATATGATGAAGCTTGTTTATTCCTGTGGCCCTGAAGATGAGCCATTTCAGTATTAGATTTTTTCATCTGGGATGACTGTGTTGAAGGGATGGTCCCAGAATGTGGAGGATATTCCAAAACCTGAAAAGAAATATAAAGACTACATTGGTCACATACAACATAAACAAAAGCAAGGGGAATCAAACCCAAATCTCCCTGGGTCTCAGCCCCATGTCGATCACATTTTTACCTGATCGTTGGTGCTCGAAGTGGTGTTTCACGTGGTAGGTCTTGAGACTGTACATATAGGAGCCTCTCTTTGGTGAGCCATAGTGAAGGTAGTAATGGATCATATCATATATGACATAGCCACATAGTCCTCCAACAAACACAGATATCCCAAGGATATCTGGGAGAGTGTTGCGGAGGATTGCATAGAAAGTTCCCACTACAAAAGACGCCAGGCCTGGGGGGAAGACCAGCCGGGAGCCATCAAATGGAGACTGTGGAAAAATTAATTTGTGTCATGATTAAACTTGTTTCATGATGAATTTCCAATCCCTCGTTCTTATTGATGATGATGTTTTACCTTGTGGTGCTGTCCATGCAGAAGAAAATGTATGGTGATGAGATAGTAGTTGTGGGCAGGGGGTTTCATGTGAAAGACAAAGCGATGGATGCAGTACTCAATGAACGACCACAAGAACCAGCCCAGTAAAAACAGTATTGGGAAAATGTACTCATGGATCAGGATCGAGAAGTCTGAGAAGTCATACACAGATTTTGACACACATGCACACACAGACATACATGTGAAATCCTTTAAAAAGTATGTTGCATATGAAAATGAGAATAAAGAGATGTAATGGAAATGTACAAGGTGAGGTAATACATGGTAAGCATGCATAGCCTCGTTATCTGCAGGTATTTACCTGAAGTGAGGACTATCCTGGTGGTTCCTTTTGCCAGGGTGGTGTAGCAGTGCCAACTGTAATAAAAGACAATAGGAAGCCACACCACTGGTACCCAGTACCTGTAGCAAGAGAGCACAGAATAATCATCAGAATCCATTATTATTGCCAAGTAAATTTACAAAAACTTAAATAGAAAAAGACAAAACATTATAAAAAGCAATAAAAAATAATAGAATGTAAAAATATAAAAACATAAGCGGTGCAATGGAGGAGCTGTGGAGAATTCCCTTCTTGTGCGGCTATGTGTATGATTCAAAGTGAAAACATCTTTCAGTATAGATAAATCTCCTCACAGTGTGCATGTAAACAGAAAATATTAAGTCCAGTGTACGTTAATGTAACGCATAGGTTCAGCCTTCACATTATTGTAATGTTCTCTGACTGTGGGGATAGTTGAGAATCTGTGTTATGTGGGGGGAGGAGGGAGGGCAGGGACACTATTAATGAGGCTGGCAGCAGAGGGGAAGAAACTGTTCTTGTGGCGAGAGGTTTTGGTCCCTATGGTCCCCAGCCTCTTGCCAGAGGTGAGGGTCTCGAACAGGCCATATCCAGGCCACAATTTTATCTGCACGCCTGGAGGTGTGCCTTCATCCTTTGCTGTGGCTGCAGCGTACCAGGCTGTGTTGGAGGAGGAGATGGATTTAACGATGGCAAGTGAACCATCATGGTCTTTTGCCAGGTTTAATTTCTTCAGCTGCCGCAAGAAGGACGTTCTCTGCTGTCCTTTCTTGATGAGGTCCTGTGTGATGATGAAGCCATGTAGCGGAAAGACTCCACAGTGGACACGCAGATGGAGGTGGCAATGGCCGCATTTTTCCTGAAGTCCACAACCATCTCCACTGTCTTCAGAGCATTAAGCTCTAGATCGTTCACACCACACCAGGTCACCAGATGGTCAGCCTCCCACCTGTAGGCAGACTCATCCCCACCAGAGATGCGTCCAATCAGGGATGTGTCATCTGCAAAATTTAGGAGCTTGACAGACTGATGACTGGAGGTACAGCTGTTGGTGTACAGGGAGAAGAGCAGAGGAGAAAGAACGCAGCCTTGAAGGGAACCAGTGCTGATAATCCTGCTGTCTAGACATTCTTCCCCCGCTTCACCTTCTGTCAGACAGGAAGTCTGTGATCCACCTGCAGATGGAGTCAGGCACGTTCAGCTGGGAGAGCTTGTGCTGTAGCAGATTGTGTTGAAAGCAGAGCTGAAATCCACAAACAGGATCCTGTCGTAGGTTCCTGCTGAGTCCAGTTGCTTGAGAATGAAACGGAGGGCCCGGTTGACAGCGTTGGCTCTTTAGGCGAACTGCAGGAGGTCCAGCAGAGGGTCCCATAGTTTGAGGTGGGAGAGCTGTCGGGGTGGACAGTCGTTGAGAGTCCTGAGTCCCTGCTGTGGTGAGGATGGTGAGTTGTGGAGTGGAGTCATCATGGGGATGTCCCATTGTCTTTCAGTGAGAAAGTAGAACTCGGTCAGTTTGTTGGCCAGGTGGGTCATTCACATAGGGTTTTCACAGAAAACTCCTGAAAAACTCCTGATATTTGCCGGAGGAGCTGTATGTGTGTACCCAAACAGCTGACATTTTCGCACAGGCATCACCCGCAGTTTCTCCTGCCAGACCCCTAATTTTTTTTCCACCGTTTTTTTTTACTTTCAAGGTTTTTTATAAGATTCTCACACCATGTATGTGTGTACTCCACTATAAGAATGTATGCCTACCGGAGGAAGGGGGGCTTTTTCTTTGACTACTTGTGAACTGTCAATGTAAATATAATCTTGCAAGATTAAAATGTTCTGCTGTTTCAATGTCTACTGTCTCCTGTGCTATTAATTTTCAGAATATACTGCGACTGCTGCTGTGAATTGGGTATGTATATCAGGTTGAATTTGCTACATGTATAGTTTTTATTTAAACAGGCACCCCCCTATTTTTTTAATATTTTATGAACTATTCTAATTGCAATGACACATTTTCACAAGGTAATATACTGTTTACCCAGTAGATGGCGCTATTATGCCACTGTGGATTCCCTAGAGAAGCTTAATTACTGAGTCCTGCACATGCACAGTTCAACAATAAACGAACTGGCATGAGCAAGACACTAAAGTTTGTCCTCTATCATTCCACAAGTAATATAAAAAACGTTATCTCTTATCTATAAGCTGGTTATGTATGTATTTTTGTCATGACATGTAGCGTCTTGCTAAGTTACGTCTCATGAGCCGAGTGAGTACAGTAGTTTCGTCTGTGCAAGCTACTTAAGTAAATGTAAAGCAAACCTTCTGAACAAGAGGAACATGTGTTTTGTACATTGTTAAAAGTATTAGCTCGTTAGTAAAAGTCAATGTGATAATGATGTTTTGCGTTCCGTTTCACATTCACATTGATTGTTGAACGATACTGTGACGCAGCTTCACCATTTTCCTGCACAAGGTTTGTGTGCAGGCAAGCGGGAAATGTTTTTTTACTTAGGAATGTTGATAAAGCTGAATGTGTAACGCTTAGTTAACTGTGAATATGAGGAGGATTTTAAGTCAAGTTAATGTGTTTGATGTTATTTTATTTTTTTTATATTTGTCTACATGTATTTAATTTACTGTAAACAGTGTTTTATTTGAGTTTGTATTATCAAAGAGTTTACGATATTAATTTCTGAAATGTGTTGGTTATGGTTAATTAACTGTGTTCAGACAATAAACGAGCTGGCATGAGCAAGATGCTAAAGTTTGTCCTATCATTCAACAGATTTAGTTCAGGCTAAACAGCGTTCCTTAGCCTGTGTAACCTTTGCTGCTGGTCCAGATTTCCTTTAGGTCTGGTGCCGGTAACAAATGCACACGACCACTACGATCTCAGTGCTCGTAATTTAATGGCTGCATTATGTGATCTGTCTTCAGTAGCCTATGTTGTTCTCCAATCTTTTGTTGATAGTGTGATTCTGTTGAACTACATGTAGCATTGATAAAAAGGCAAATATTCTCATTATAGCATCGTACAGCGGACTCTTTTGCTTCATCCACTACTTCCGCATGGTTTTTTTACATCACGTCTTACCTCAGGAGACCCCCCGCAACCTCTCTTGTCTGACAGGGATAGTCTCCTGCTGTGAGCTGCATTTGTGAACAGCCAGGTCAGGAGAATATCCGGAGCTGTCCTCCTTAAATTATCTATATATCTATATTTTCATGATATTTTCAGGGTTTTAGGCTTGTAGCTGGTGAGCTATCTGAGACCCAGACTGAGACAGTGTCTTTCTCTGAGAACTGTAGTAATTGTAATTTTTGTTGTTTATGTTTGGATTTCCCATAGGTTTGGCAAAAAAATTCCTTCAGACTACAATCACTTGAATATATTTACTTAGTGACTGCTTTGTTTTGGTGTTAACAATAACTTGGGTTAGTGGGCGAGAACAATTAAAAGACTTAAATTCAGTATCATACAAATGTATTATTTATATTTTGTCAAATAAGCCAAACTATACGACAGAGTCCTACTACATGTGATTTGCAGAAAAATCTTATGCAAATGTATTGCAAATGAGAAAGAGTCCCCTGTCTTACCAGGATGTCTTGGTGCTTGCCTCCAGAAAAGGGTTCCCAAACAATCGGATTGGTCTGTCAACTGGCTGGTGAACCCACGCATCGTATTTCTCTCCGAGGTAGCCTACCTGCCATGCCAAGGGCTTCCTCCAGTCCACCAAATCCTGTAGAGTTACAAGCAATGAAAAATTAGGAAATTACATTCCATTCGGACATGACAGAATTGTAAAAAAGCACACCAAAAACAGTATAGATAGATAGATAGATAGATAGACTTTATTGTCTGTCCCTTAAAAACACAAAGTGTAGTACAGACATTAAAAGAGGACTGTTAAAAACAACAGCTTCTAAAAAAAAGGGGGGGGGGGTGTATTTGATTTTGTTCAGAATGGTTATTGCAGAGGGAATGAAGGATTTTTTTGATGATTTGATGACAATTGATGAATTATGCTTGGAGTGGAAGTAAAGGTATAAACACCATTGGCTGAGGTTAAACCAACTTTTATGGATTTAAACAACTTGCTAAGGAAGCCAAAGAAACTTAGCTATAAGTACAAGATCATTTAAAAGACCTTACACAATAACTCAGTTTCTGGTCACCAAAATTCAGAATGATGATCTTTAGTAACTTCAATTACTCTACACTTTTCTAGAGCAAGTTGTGATGGTTGGAGACAAGAGTTTCTTTGGACCTTCTTTAGTCAGTTTGCCTTCAGAAAACAGAGTTAACGGAAGAGGTATGAGTTCCACTTTCTGTATGTATTTTACAGTAAAAAATGTGAAGTGAACCTAGAGTATCTATTTTAAAAAAACCCAAGATTTCTAACCTGCAAATTCAGTTTTTACCCTTGCGTCTCCATCTTTGTCCTTGTGCTATCACTTTCTATCTCCCCTGCAGCCAGGGGAGTACACTCATCAAAATTTTGACGTTGATAAATAAATATTATAAATGATATGTTATTTATTAGTTTATAAATTACAAAATGAACAAAGTAAAAACATGACACTGAGGGAGCAAAAGAGCAAAGAAGATAAAAAGTGTATGGTTAATATAAAGTGAGACTTCCATGCTCATGGGTTTGATTAACATTTTTAAAAAGTGTTTTCCAAGACTGGGAGTTATCTGCAAAAGGCAGACATATCAACAGTAGATAACTTAGATTTGAAAACTTTCATCTTAAACTGTATATGTATTTTGTGAAAAACACCTAATCCTCTAGATTAGAAAATACTTTTTACAAACACATGCTGACTGTGGTGTTGAACGCCATTTAAGGTCTCCTTCTATATGCAAACTCACAAGTTTGTAATAATAAATGGCTGTTGAACTGCACAATATGGCAAAGTTTGAAGCTGTTACATAGCCGTTGTTGCTAGCTAAGTCAAGAGCTTGTGTAAAACAACTTAGTTATTTCATGTTGTTTTTCCCTTTAAGTCAAGTGAATGTGGTGAAAAAAGTGTTGACTCATACTTCTCCCATAAGTGTTATTTCCTATAGGCAACACACTTTAAAACTAATGAAAAAACAAGGTCTGAATTTATAAAAAAAAAAACAATTGTGAAAATCAAAAATAAGACCTCAAAAATTAAGCTATGCAAAAGTGATTCCAAAAGTAAATCAAAATTGGATTTGAATTATTTTTCCTTAATTTATTGTTGGTTTGATTATTTAGCAAGGTTTTTCAAAGTGAAATAAAAAAACTTCAAAGTTTCCTTTTCAAATTTGAGTTTTTGATCTACAATAGAAGTCAGCAATAAAGTGTAACTCAAGTTGGTTTAACCTCAGTTAAACCTTAATCAGATAAACAACAGTCGGTATGAATAATTTTCATGATGCATTGTTACTATAAATCACAATAGAAATGTTATTAAAAACGTTTTTTTTGCTTATCCTTATTGCATTTTTTATGTATCCAGCCTAGTAAAAAGAAAAACCTTTTTTCTCGGCTGGATAGCACGAGTTGTGACATTTTAGAGGCTGTGGTACAGATGTAGAGTGGGTCATCCTCAAATAACTAGCAGAATATCAGCAGTTGTATACTGGGCTCCCAATTTCAGCTTGTTGAAGTATCCTTGGGCAAGTTAACCCCAATGTGAACTTGGGTGAATGACCAGTTAAAGATGTCTTGCATGGAACTTAATTAGTGTATGAATTTGGTGAGTAAGGGTTAAGGTCAGCTCTTCAATAATAACAAACAATATGTGTGTGTGTGTGTGTGTGTGTGTGTGTGTGTGTGTGTGTGTGTGTGTGTGTGTGTGTGTGTGTGTGTGTGTGTGTGTGTGAACAGTGTATGCCTAGAAAACTATAAGTATGTGACCTTCAGAGTCTGCAAAGAAACAGGGACAGTTTTGGAATGAACAAGGGTGAATAACCGGATGACAGTTCACCCTTCATGTGTCCCCTATTACAAAAGCAACCACACACAGACACACACACACGCCTTGTCAAGGTCCACGGAGCTGCAATGGTTGAACGGGGCATTATCGTCCTTGTTTTTCACATTCTTGTCCGATGTATCTTCTGCTGTATGTTCACTGGCTTTCCTCCTTTCTCTCAGAGTCTAAGGAAAAAAGAACACATAAACAGATACAATTAATAAATAAAGGTGGATGTAATCATGCTGTAAGGTAAATAATATGTCTTATATTTCCCCTTGACTGATATGCTGCTACAGTTGAAGCCATCAAGCTTTAAAGCCTTTTTCAATTACGTATCTTTTTGCAAAAAATTTGCTCATCGTCAGAGGAAGAAGGCAAAAACCCTGTTCATGCCTTAAAAAATGTAGAGTGAGGTCTAGACATTGAAACACTTACCGTGTTTGTGTGAGTGTGTCTGTGTCAGAAAATGGTAAATGGACATAAGATTGTACTTGTACTTTTCTGGTCTACTGGCTACTTTCTAACTTTGACTTGGACTTTATCTGCTTGGTGTTTCACCTCAATATGATGATTTTCTTTTTTTTGGTTGCCGCTATAGCCACTTCCATCATAATCGTCGGTTTGAATCACATCTAATCGCTGAAATGTATCCATTCCTAAACTTACTTGCGCACTATCTTTGGCTGGGGCGAAAAAACATCCCATCCCCACCCAGAAATGTCCTGTATCAACCAAAACAAACCAAAACATGAAAATAAAGGCATGGGACACCACACATGTATGGAGGCCCATAAGTGATGATTGAGTGGCTTTGCTTTTGTAAGTCTAAATTTCATTTTATTTAGGAAAAAGCTACTAACTCTATATTTAAAGAAGGAGGTATGTGAGCTTACAGTGACAATCAATCAATCAATCACTCAATCAATCAATCAATCAATCAATCAATCAATCAATCCATCAATCAATCAATCCATCAATCAACCATTATTTGTATAGCCCCAATTCACAAGTGTGTCTCGAGACGCTTTACAAAAAGCATATGGGATAATATGCAGGTAGGATTTCTCCTTTGTATTCCTCTCGTTCCTGTTGTTCACACTTTCAAGTATGGCAAACAGTTTGACCCTCTTGTATTATTTTTACATTCAATATATTCATGCAAGGCATTCACTAATACTTATATAAACTCAGACCCAATAAAAGTAAAGACTGACAAAAGCACTGAGGCATTGTACTTTTTGTACTTAAAAATAGAAATTGAAAATACCAAACAATTTTAATATAACCCCCACTTAAAAGCGGATAGCTTATCCAGCATAATATTATTATTTTTTTAATTTTAATTAAAAAAAATTAAATTTAAATTGTAATTGGACCAAAGAAACCAGGCTCATGTTGAACAGCCATCTGCCAAAATTCAGTTGGGCTTTGAAAGTTGATTAGAGAGAGATGCAGGATGAAGGAGAAGGATAGAGACAGAGTAACAACAATGATAGATTTATAGCTACAATGTCAGTAATAATGTTAAAAGGCCTTCATCAGCGTTGATGAAGGCCTAGTGCTGAAACACATCTATTGTTGTTTTGTACACTGCTCTTGCCCAGATAATAGGTTACTTTAAGTGATGTTTAAGTTTGGCCTGCAGTGTAAAAGCGCTTTGACTTGTCAACTTGACTTGAGCTACAATGTAAAAGTTCTGTGCTTATAAGCATCTTCGGTTGTCCTGCTCGAACCAGGTTACTAGAACTTTCAACATTACAGTCTGCAGTTTTGCTAGCTAGCTTTGCCTTTATTCTGCAAGAGCATCTTCCCTGGATCCCTGAATTTTAAGAAAAGCTTAGTCTTTTTATTTTAATTCCCTCAGGATGAGGAGGTTAGTGTGCTAAGTGACTATCTGATTCTGGCTGTTGTGGCCTAAACATGTAAGGCTTAATTGGTCTAATAGAGCAGCCAGATGAATCCACCATTGACAGAGCAGAGATTACTGCTTGTACTACTTTGAAACTTTATTATATATACTTAGCGATTTTTTTACAGAAATTTGGCCTGGTGCTTAATAACACATTCATCTTGTCTGGTGGTTAATAACACAGTCATCTGCTGTACAAAAAACTTAGAATACATATTTATTATTGCTTTACAGCAGAGGTCACCAATTGGCAGACTGCAGTCCAGATCCGGACCCGCAAACACACGTTGTTAATGTCTGATGAGCGTTTCTATTTTGAATAGCGCACCTTTTTGTTTACATTAATCTATTGTAACATGCACATAGCTTCTACTGTATTTGTGGTATTGAGTTCAGTGGCCTATAACGTCACAGACCAATTAGTTTGTTGTCAATCAGCACACAAGGGATTATCAGCCAATCAAATCCTCCACTCAATTCAAATTGGGAGTGCAGCAAGTGGAGTGTATAGAAAAACAAATACACACAAGGAGGGGCAAGCAGAGCAGAGGAGAGTTGCTTCGACACTGCAGGTGAAAATAAATGAGTCTTGGAAAAGTCATGTCCTCCTCAAAAATAAAAAGAAAGAAAAACAGGCAGCAAAAAAAAGAGCTTTTGATTAAGAATAGACGGATGTATACGTTCATTTCCCACAAGCATTTTTTTAACAGTATGCCTCGTACTTTTCAATAAGCGCAAAGTTCAAGCGGAAATGTCAAACAACACTGAGACAAACACACGTTTTAAGCGATCGTATCGTGATCATACCAACTCACATCTTATCTGAGGACAGAAAATGAATGAACCATGAGCCTAATATGATTGAGCCTCCAGAATCCTGACACAGTCACCGATCAACAATGTGCAAACAATGTTCCTTTTTACAGGTCGAGATGAAGCTCAGTTCTCTCACAAAACAAGATAAAGTGTGACAGTTTGACATAAGAGGGAAAGGGAGAGAAGCAGGTGTTAAAGTTGTTAGAAGTAGTTTTCAAACAGAAAAGGGGAAACAAAATGTTTTTCCAAATTTACTAAAACAATGTACTGCTCAGCCCATGAAAACTGCAGCTAACTGTAGCTAAAGATGAACAGCAGTAACAGATCGACTTGAAGTTCTTTTTTTACTGTTGCAGCAACTGAACATGTTTGAAATTTGATTGGAAGGATAACCCCTTGAGATGCACCATCTTGTTTTCAAGGGGGTCCCTTACACAAATGAAAAGACAAAAAAAGGAACATTACATAGAGAACATTACAACAGACATTAACATTCACACATACACACAGCTCTCCCACACCAACCCCTCCCTCACCCACCTAGAAGTGCAAATATACATGCAATAGTTATAATCAATAAGAGTAGAGAAACACAGGCCCACATTCATATAGATACATAAAGTATACATTTTACATACATTTTGGCAAGAGCTTATCAATCTATAAATCAGCATCACCAGAACTAAAAACAGGAGCAAGCTGTTTGAAGATAAGAGAGGAGAGCTGTCTTGAAGAAGTGAAAAAAAGAAATTGAGCTGTTATGACCCGCACCCCATGTGCAGAGGATGTAGTCCTTGGCCCTTTCCGAATAGCCACAGTTCAGTAGGCAATGCATACTTTTCAGTAGGGAGTTTCAGTAGACTGAAGTCTCGTGGTCATTCAATATGCATTTTTTGGGTCCACCTCAGTATACTGAACATTTCAGTATGGATACTAACTTCCGGGTTTCATGCAGTATGGATCGGACGCATTCTTTCAGGAAATTAATTGTATTTTACCACCCACAATGCTGCGCGAAATTAAACGTAAATCGTCACTTCACGTCCGCCTCCAAACCAAAACAAACGGCCGTGAATTAATTGAATTTACATTGTGATACTGTTTTTTGTTTTTTTTTACCTGACTGTGTATGCAAATTACTCTTCTTGAATAAAGCTGAACAAAAAAAACCCACAAAAAACGAGGACGGATGCGGCCGGTTCGGGTAACACAAATGACGTCACTTCCATACTGAATGAATCAGACGAAGTAGGAACAAATATCTGTCTACTGTGCGTGCCTACTGAACAATAGGGAACTAAACAGTATACAGCACAGGTACTGTCCTTTGCTACATATCCCCCGCTCTCATACCAATAAATCAACAGTGTTCAAGGGAGGTCAACTAGGATAGTCCACACGCACCTGTTCTCACTGAATCCCACTTCTCGTAAAGTTACCATTTTCCTTCCTTTTTTTGTACTAGTTAGCCTTTTATACTGCTTGAGCTTAGATTCAGTCACTTTTTTTGGTTTCAATGTGACACATCTTTTACCTTGTGAATGTAAAGCCAATATGAACATATAAATACCAGGTTATTTGCTGTTGTTAAGTAAACACTGAAAGGAGAGGAGAGTTCACTAACTAATAGTTGGCTTTTAATTTTTCAATTGTGTTTCCGTCAATCCAGGAGTGCCTATACACACTCCTCAGGCCTGGTGTAGGACAATAGGTGATAAGCCGTTTTGTTGACAGTAACTCTCACCTAAGGTAGGCATATTGACATGTCAGGAGGGAGACCTATAAGAACTGTTATTGTAGTGTTTTCTGGCTTACATAGTGTGATTTAAAGCATTCAATGAGCTCACAGTGACACAAACGTGTGTTTTGTGCAAGCTTGCATAAATTAGTGTTGAAGGGTGGATCAGTACAAACATGAAGATAATTGATAAGAGCTGGGTCAAAGGTAAAGTTTGCATTTGGGTGGGTGAACAACATTGTGGCATGATACTTTTCTAAAATCTGCCTAATAAAATCAGCAGTGGTGCCAATAACAAAACTGGTACCTTGTAGCAAATGAAGTTCCACTTAAACAGTTTGTTTCTACTTTACCTTGTATATTTACCTTGTAGTCAATGTGCATAATGTCTAATTAACAGATATACTTCTCAATGACTCTAGGCATTTTCTCTATCCTCTCCTCTCTCCTCTTCTGCAATACCTTCTGCCCACAAAAAAATGTAACGTTACCTCCATTTTCAATTTCCCCAAAATCCATGTACTGTTTAATTTCTCCAGAAAAATGCAATAACTCCTGTGAGTGTGAGTCAGTTTCTATCCTTGCATTTTATCACTGTGGGTTTTTATGACTGATGATAAGGAGAATATTGGGGGTAAAGGTGGAGGAAGTATGCAGGGCAAATGTTGAGCTGTCTTGCCCTTTGATCAGCCACTATGTAAAAAGATTTGTTAATGGTT